AATGTTATTTGTTATTAATGATTTACAGTAGATATACTATTTTTTGAGTAAGATCTGAAGATTGTAAAACTATTCAGCAATAATGGATTGTACGAAATTTTTATTGTCGAACTTTTAATACAAGCTTGTTTATCAGTTTCTCTTAGCTTGTTGACTTATTCTCAAAATGCCTTCAATGCTATTTAGTTAGTAGTAGGATGTAATAATCATTTCTGCACACAACATCTGTGTTTTTCAGATAATGTTTTGAGAATTGTCTAGCGTTTGATTCTGTAATTATGTAATACACTTTCATTTTAATCTGCATTTCTTCACTTTGAGGAATCTTTTAATCACTTTATAATCAAATATTAAAGTATCCATATATTACATCCCTTGTGCATTTATTTTAACTACAGAATTTGAGGAAACTCGAAGACATTCGTGAACGTATAAACAGAACAGATTCACTTTCACATTTTGACGAATTGCGTGCAAGGAAAAGACTTTTGCGAAGACTTTGTTTTTGTTCAGAGGATGATACAATTGCATTAAAAGGTCGTATCGCTTGTGAAATTTCAACTGGTGATGAATTGGTACTGACTGAGTTACTGCTGGATGGATTCTTTTCACAATTCTCACCAGTTCAACTAGCAGGTGTCATGTCATGTTTTGTAGCAGAAAAACAAACAAAACATCACAAGATAAATCTGAGTCCTGCCATGAAGAAGGCTATAAAAAGTATCCACGTACGTTTTTCATTGCTATTAATGATAAACTTACCGGTATTCACCAATTAAAACTTAGCAGACGTAAGCTCAAATTAGTTGATAGGTTTATTTATGTGGTCACATAAATTTTGGTACAAAGCGGCACCGATTACCTGTGCACCACACAAGTCACTTGATGTGTGTGAGCTGAGATGCTGACCGTATGCCCAGACCGATGTAGATGGCTTTCTTAAGAGGCCACACCCAGAGCCTTTGACATAAAGGTCTGGTCTACAAGGCAGTGGAGCAACTTTAGGAGATGCAGTCCCATGGTATCCGGTGACCAACAATGGGTTCATACGCCTTTTGTTTCTTCAGGATACTGGAGCCCATGTGCGCCACTGACCCGGTTAAAGTGCCGGACATTCTCTTTTCGTCCTTTCAATTTCGTAAACAACACACTCGCCGCGAGAAGGCAATGAGTAGGACTTTCCTGGCAGTTATGGATATGTCCTCAATCAATCACATACAATCAATATATTTTGTACGGCTGCGAAACGTGGCCATTAAGAGTAGAAGACACTCGTAAGCTACTAATATTTGACCACAGATGCCTTAGAAATATTGCTGGCGTCTGCTGGGATCACTGGGTAAGTAATAGTGAGGTCAGACGCCAGGATATTAGGGAATGATGGTAAATCAGTTGATCAGCTTGTGAATCTTCATCGACTGAAATGGTTGGACCATGTGTTACGTATGCCCGAACACCGATTAACACGACGTGCAATGCTAACCGGTGTTGGAGATGGTTGGAAGAAAGTTAGGGGCGGCCAAACCAAAACGTGGCATCAGTGCTTGAAGTCACTAACTTCTAGTCTGAGCCATGTTGGGAGATGCAGACTACTTGGTTGAGGTCCGCGTGACTATCGTAACCAATGGTTGGAGACTCTTGGTGACATGGCTCAGAATCGATCACAATGGCGTCGGTGTATACACTCTCTGTCTGCCCTCAAACTAAGAGATTAAAATCGCTTCATATCTTTCTTTCTACGAACTAATTCTTTCTTCGTGTACTATATCCTTATATGCTATCTTTCTATTATATATTACCACCACTACTTTTATGAATCCGGTGTTCATCTTGTCGTGTTAATGTGGTATGGCAATTTGTTCAGATGCATATATGTGCCTGGTCCTACGTTGTAGCGGACTGAATGACTATATTTTGTAAGCCAAATTAGATGGAGATATCAAATAAATTATTGCTCCTGAAATTTCAGGAATCGCTTTTCCATCAGTATTCACCATAAAACCGTTTTTATTACGTATACACGAACTCAACCAATGCAGTGTAGCTTGCGAGAAATATGACTTACACTTCAGGAGGTTCGAGGCTGCTTGGTTGTGCACATCCTAGATAGGAGGTGCTGTAACAATAAAAACTAGATTAGGAATATCCGGGGCCACAACTGATATGATTTGATAACCCGAAGTGATGTTAGTCCTCGGACATTTGGTGAATTTCTGTCATGTCAACAGGTATTAACGAACATCAGATTATTTATGGAGGTTTTACTTTTGATGACTTCGGCTTCCCTACTGTTTGTCACCTTTCGCACTTCAAATTTTGTCAGTACTTTTAGTAACATAATCTTGCATATTATGAATCTTTAAAGGATAAAGCAAGATATCTTGCAAAAATGTCTGCCGAATGTAATATTACCACGGATCATAGTAATAATGAGAAACAACCAACGACTTTGGTTGAGAATCTTGGAAATAATAGAAATAGTCTTTCGGATGACGAGCAAGCTTATGTTAATCGTTTTGTCGGTGATTTAATGGATGTTGTATGTGCTTGGACTGAAGGTGTCAGTTTTTCTCGACTTTGTGAATTGACAAGTGCATTCGAAGGTAGTGTAATTAGATGCATCAGAAGACTGGAAGAACTACTATGTCAAATGCATAATGCAGCCAAAGTTGCAGGAAACTCGGAGTTGGAAAATAAGTTTTTAGAAGGTATGTTTCTCCCTTCTTTTGTGATGCACGTTTTATAGTACATGTTTTACAATTTAAAATCCAAGTAAAATGTTGGAGTTAATGATAATAACATTTAAGCTACATCGATCGTAAATTACACTTATATAAGTTGGTAATACTACATATTTTTCAAAATGTATGTATAATTTTAGTAATTTTCTTATTTTGTCAAGCAGTCAATATTTCAGAAAACAACATAACATAAAATCATTTCTAACTAGTGTTATTTTCATAGGTGAATTATTCACCTTCATACAATTTCACTGATCGTTTTTAGAGTGAATGTAGTCTATTTATAAATGTCTCATGAACAAAGTAATACAAACAGTGCTCATAACAGTGAAAATATTTAACGTAGAATATTGTGAACCGCTTTTAATTTGTTAAGATGTACAGTATTGCTGGACACGTTTGTGTTTTTCTTCCTAGGCTTATATATATATATATATATTTTTTTTTTCTTTCAGCCGTAATCCTAATCAAAAGAGATATCATTTTCTGTGCAAGCCTATATCTTTAACAGTTATCGAAAAAAAGTGTAGAAATCTTGATAATAAAAAAAGATTCAGTATTTTCGATGACTTTGGTCTTCTATACCTTATTGGACTGGTAATGAGGTTCATCGTAAAACTAAATCCAAAATCTTATTCCAGACGCATAATTTATATTTGCCAGGATTAAATAACACCAATGAAGGAAAATATTCTCATCATGCATTAAACTTCAAAATTAATCGTCCTATTATATTTTTGATAATCTCCTCTTAAAACAAAAATGATACAAACCAGAACTATGAGACTATATTAAAAAAAATGGTAGACAGTCATAGGTAACAAGTTGGGAAGAAACACTAGAAGTGGACCACTTATTTTTAAAAGCTCATATTATGTGCTGTTTTTTGAAAATTAAGTGACCAGATAAATATTCCTTACTGATATTACAAAATATGAGTTGACAAATCTATTTGAAATTAGTATGGTGAGTCAATGAGACCGTGTGGGTAAGAGAGCTATGGCAGACAAATTATTTAGTTGAAATCATGAACCGATCTAAGTTAGACCACCATTGAAAACTGGAAGCACCGGACGGTCTCACTAAGGCCAGTTCACGATTTCAGTGAAACGCAACAATCTCCACAACCCTATATTGAACAGAATCGATATTGAAGCTGATGCTAGCTGAGAATGTATGGAAAGATGTAAACGTTATTCATCTAACTTTAAAATTCTTACATTGGTTTCTTGTTCTACCTAATCAAACCGATTCAATACCAAATTTGTGAAACGTTATTCGGCACATAATTCCTAGCAGATGACTGTCACATTTTGCACTGATACAAATCAGCAGAAACTAGAGGTGAAAATTACTAACTAATGAAACAAAGATGTTTGATATCAGCTGTGAGCTTGTTAAGCAGATATGCTTATTTTGAAACGTTAAGTTGATGTAAGTGATAATCCTCATCCGTCTCTGACAGAAAATGACTAGATTTACCAATATTTTGATAATTAAGTTATTAAATTGGAAGAGACCGATGTATATTCAGTATATTCGATTATAGGACTGATCAAGATAACAAAAGTCTAACGACTTTTCCAAACTCAGATTATGTTTGTTCAGGCGAGTGCTAGAAAATTTTTAATGTGAGTAACTTTCAAGACGAGACGATAAATAACCTTAACAAACTCATTGTCGTAACTACGCCTTGTTAAGGGTAGGTAATTAGTCGTCATTTTATGACTTTTCGTTCTTAATTATTCATTTATTAACTGGACGTTATAAGTTTAACATTTTTGCCCGATTCGCGGGAATTTAGAGGTGCTGACTTCCACAAAACCAGCAGTAGGAAGTATAAAATAAACCTTATTGCCAAGATTAACTTGTCTACAAAAAATATATTGTGAGAAATTATCTTTGAGTACCAGAGGCTCACAGAAAGAAATCATATTATTAAATAAATTCGATGCAATAGCAATCGAACTGAGTAGTAACAGTTAGTTGTCTTCTAAATCCGTAATGATTCTTTAGGATCAATTTCTCATTACCATCCATCAATGTCAGTGATATTTTAAACTATTTCTGAGCCAGATTTTAACGTCGAATCACTTAATTCACTAACCAGGATCAGCAGTGGAAAGTATAAAAGATGTTTATAAATCAGTTTATTTTCTCATTTTACGATGACCGCAGTTACAATAGTGTATCATCCTGCTCCATTTGTAAAGCGTGGTGTAGGGATATGTTATACATTAAGATGATAACACTTAAAACTCATATAAATCCGAAAATCTGCTTGAATTTTTCTCTGTCTAATATTTCCGATCTCCCTCTAGTTAGAAGAAAGGTTCGTCCAATACCCAAAGGTTTTGTGGAATTGGGATTTGCATTAATTATCCCAATACGAACATAACTTTTTTTTCCCGGTGTTTCGTTAAGATCCGATGGTGGGACTATTTGACCTGAATTCAAAATTGTATTTTGACGTTTTCCCCAAAATGTTAAATGTCCGATGCGTACTAGACCAGACTCTCTGTGAATACTAACCTGAAATACAAACGGTCAAAAAGCAATTGCAGGGTATCTAAAAGTTATAGTGACCACTCAAATTTTTAATTACGGACCGTATAAACCTACTGACAACTATTACAAAGAACTAGTAACGCATATATTTCTTGTAAATTAAGTTTTCCTCATAGTGATTTATGAAGATCAGATGCTCACTGTAATGAAAAACCTGACGTAACGAAACAAAACATCTTAAATCTCCAGCCGAAAACCGATTTCTGATCACGCATAACACGAAAAGTATGTGTAGAAACTCGTCGTAAATCCCTCTCATTTGAAGATAAATATGTTGACTGACGGTCACTATAAACTTGGATGTGATGAATCTTGGGTTGTCCTTATCAATTAACCGATATATGAAACAATAAGAATTGTCAGTATAGTATGACTTAACTCGAACAACTAAAAAGATTTTATACAAGAGGAATCTTATATATAATATAAAATATGATTAACTTACGACTCCCACAATTTTTATGCTGAGCCAACTGAAAATAATCAGACTGCACAGGGAAAACGCGGCACAACCCAGAAATGTATAAACTAATGAGGAAGAAACTTGATCATGTAGGTATTTGTATATAGCTACTGGACAGCCAGAAATTAATGAGCCAGTTAATATAATTTTAAGTTGTGAGATCGCCTAGGAAAATAATTGTAAGTTAAATTATTAATACATCGTCTAGTTACCAACAATTTAAATACTACTAATTTCTCATTAAAATAATTGAAACATGTGTGTATTTTGGATGTCTACTGGCAGGTTTTAAGACAAGGAATAAGTTCCAGTTTGCAAACACCGGCCAATACTTGTTATTGTAGCAATTGTGTCTTAAACGACATTTATTATGTTCCGTAATAATACCGCAACTAATATGAATTAAATTGTAAAAATGTTGAGTAGAGGTGGGGTGTGTTGGGTTATTTCATAGTAATAATGACTATTGGGTCTACAATGTAAAAGAAAGTTTGGACATATATCGATTGAATGAAGACCTCAAGCATTTTTATAATGGAATAACATCTAGTGGTAGACAATTTTTTTTCCAAAAACCTACGATCAAATTCAATGGACTAATCCATACATTTTCAGTATGCCCATTTATGCAGTGTGAGATTTTTTTAACTGTTCCCACACCATCAATTATTGACGGATTCCTGTCTTAAGAAATCCTGCGACTATTGAAAAACGGCAAGGGTTTAAAAATATCCATGATTTTGCTTATGGCAGAACCACAGTAAACCACTTTAGCACAAACATGAACCACCTAAAATCTATCAGCACAATCGCCCTCGAATATGCTTCAAATGAAACATGTAAGGAGGTCTGATTACATGTTGCCAATCCTTGAAGAACTGGTTAACTGTGTTGGACTACATGCTTAATATATATATATTTCGTGTTAGTGACTCACTAATTTTTAGAAGACAAATAATTGGAAACAGACCTGTAGAAAAATTATGGAACGGAAACGATATATGGGTACCCAAGATTCTTTTTTATCACCAAATAATTCTGTTTTGTGTCCCGAATGTAACAAACGAGTTTGCAAGCTTGAATATTTTGGAAGTCTTAGGGAGAATAATGATGATTGCATAAGCAGATAGGAATACGAATGGAATTTGTGAAGTCCGCCAAACATCGGTATTTTCATTTTGAATAAACTAAATACAAAGCACAGGTTCATTGCAACATAGGTTTCTGATTTAAAAATGCATTGTATGTAGTCTAATTAAAGATGAGAAAAAGTCTAATTAAACTATCAAAGGTAAAAGGTGCCCGTAGATTTGATATCTCACACCAGAAATATAGTGCAATAAATGCGCATACCTGGTCAATTAATTTGCTGGTCATCTTATTTTTGTTACAAACGGAATGCGGTTATTTAACGTGAATTCAAAACTAACAGTAAGTTGAATGATAATTATTTGAATAATTTATGAATAGAGATATTTTTAACAAATACAGATAAACCCATTGGAAAGGTGGTAACAAAAGGGGAAGAACTTCTAGTTTTTATCTAACTGATCTCATTACTTTATAGACGTATTTCCATGTTACGGTAAATTTTCAACCGTTAAATGAATGAAGTGTTTTCATACTAGAAGAGAACATGTAGGCTTCTTTTATCAGCAGCAATGAAATGACACTCAATCCGGATGAATTTAAGCTATCAAAATGAAAAAACATAGAGGTCCTATCAGGCAAAGTGTAATATCATACAACTTTTTTCAAGAGATTCTATCCAATCCCGATTTGACAACGAATACTATAGACAACTAGATGGGGTCACTATTGGCGGATATTTTCCTTGTAAAACTGGAGAATGGACCACTTAAAACCACAATTAGCCATTTAACATCTTATTATCGCTATGTGGATGATACTTTCGTAGTATTAGAAAAAGAACAGGTAAAGGACAGTTTACTTATTATATTTAATAACGTTCATTCATCTATTAATTTTCCACTAGAAGAAGAACAGAACCATAGCATAACGTTTCCAGCTGTCCAACTAACTAGACGAGCAGATGGAACTTTAAAAAGAGGGTTACACAGAAAGTCTGCAGCTGGACAATACACTTATTTCTATAGTGCAGTACTTATTAGATACAAAAGGAACTTGATAAAGATCCTGACTCATCGTGCTGGAATGGTTTGTTCGGATGACATTATTGTACATGAATTGGTAAATATTCGTAACTTACTTAGTAGGAATGGGTACCCAAGGAAAACACATGAAGGAGATGAAAAGAAGGACAAAACTGCCTACCGTTCCGAAGGAAGTATTGTACTTAAAATTACAATTCCCAAATGATACTACTGAAGAAATTGTGACTCAGAGATTGAGAAAAGCGGTACAAAAAACATTTAATGCAGCCAGACTGAGTGCTATCTTCTACAACCGCCCCACAATAAGAACAGCCAATAAAGACAGATTGCCTGAATTTGCCAAATCGATGTGTACTTATCGATTAAACTGGTCCTGTGGAGCCAGTTATATGGGGCGTGCAATTCGGCAAGTTCGTCATCGTATAACAGAGCACCATCCATCGTGGTTGAGCAAAGGACAGGTAAGAGTGATTAAGAGTTCTATTCTCGCCCACTTGGTTGACACAGGTCATCAAGTTGAACTGAATAAAGCTTTTAAGGTTATCTACCATATTCCATCGAATATGTCTTTTGCACATTGCTGAAGCCATTGCAATCCATGTTCACAAACCTAACCTTTGCATCCAAAAGAAGTTTGTACAACTACTTTCGCTACCTTGGTCATCGGTATAGGGGAGTTTGTAGCAGAACATTGATAAACTACTTTCTTCTTCCATTTTTTTGAACTTTGTATTTTAATCATTCTCAACATTGGTCTCTTGATTCTTGCATAACTACTACTCTACTGACCACTCACCACAATATCCTGTTCCTTCTCTTTTTTATATACTATGTAACGTAGCAACTTCTTGATTTTCGAATAATTACTTTGACTATTATTAATCCTCCTTCTTTCAATTACTCAATGTTAATTTATAATCGAATTGTCGTTATGTAATTATTACTTAACGTATCCACTCGACGAGTATTATTTGATTATTGTAAATCATATATATACATCCCAATGACAGGTTTCTTTTAGTAATTATCCATTGATAATATGCTAGTTCAATTGTCCAGTCATTTCAAACACTTGATAATCATGGATGCTTGGGTGAGTAAACCACACTCAAGTATTGGTTAACGGGAATGATTATTTTGTTAGTATGGAATAGAGACAATCCTTATTACAATGATTGTGTCATGTGTTTTTGTGTGAACACAAATCTTCAAGGCGCTCATGTTAGTTACCTTACCAACTAAACCGCTCACACAGGCTGCCATCAAATCGAAATGACAGTTCCCCCCCCACTAACTGGATTATATTCATAAATCTTTGAACGGAAGTACAACGACTATGCATGTACGTCACATTTAACATTAACGTGATTACTTATTCCTAATTTACACATTCGTTTAAAACATAGTATCCTCAAAAACAACTCAACTTCAACACATGCATGTGACCTGACAAGTATGACGGTTTATGTCATACATAAGTTCATTTTGAAAACAGTTATGAGAAGATATACAACGAGTAATATGGGTAAATAAAATATGGTACCATAGAGAAATATGAATTTAACTAATCGTAAATACTATAATCAATAATGGTGATTTTTTGTTAGCGAATGAACAAGATTCCAAGGGTTAACGTCAACTAGATGTGGGGAAAATGGAAATTAATCACATCTTGTTCAAATTATTGGACCTATAATTTTGCACTTATTTCACAAATACATAAACCTAAATAAGTAGACATTATGATATATTTTGATAACGATTTTATATATGTGGTAAAATAATATGAAATACTAACAATTTTGAAAAGAGGTAGACAGTGAACTCAGCGCCTCGAAACAAGCAATCTGATAAAACATTGTTACTGTGAAGAAAATAAACAATTTAGATCAATGAGGCCATGATATCTAATTTCATTGTACAGCAATTGACATGAAGAATTCCTGTCAATAGTCTGAATTTTCTGCAGACACTATATTGTAAAATAGAAGAAAGTGGCAATAGTGAATTTCCGCTAACAAACCTTTGAAAAACATGAATATCAAGTGATAGACATAAAGGCATCGGCAAATAATGAGTGATATTGTAAAGCGAACCAACTTGATCAATGCAACGAACCCACATCTGCAGACATACATACGTTCTGGTGAGAAAACCAAAAGTAAATGATTTCTTGATTAAAATTATTATTGCATAAAAACATTCAATACCAAACGTGCATAAATAAATAAAGGGCATCACAGTTGATAATCTCAAAAAACCATACTATGTTCTGAGGAATGCATTTTAAAAAATCCGGAAATTAAATAAATTTCTTTTTGAAAGTAGTGGCACTATCTCTGAATAAATAAAGTTTGAATAGACATACATAAATATATCAAGTTAAGCTAGGACCAGAATAGACACACAAAACAAAACGGCATAAATAAAAATCCACTTTTTTGAAATAAAGTATATCAGCTGCATCTTGAGGAAAGTTACAATTAGGAAGGTCATGGAAAATTTACCAAGGAAAATTTCCCAAAAGAAGCGCCAGATATCTGCTAGAACTATAAAAAATATATTTAAGTATCCAAATCCTCAGGATATGTAGTCTAAAAAAAATTCGGTGAACAGTGATCAGTAATATTTAAACGAAGAAAAAAATGTGTAAATATATAGTTTGTAAATTTTAATTTTACTATATACTGGGATTATTGTACTTCATTACTGTACTGCAAATTAAATTTAGGGAATATTCTATATATTCCGAACCTTCCAGGACTAGATTACTTGATACCTTTAATAGTGTCAACTGAAACACAGCTCAAATGACAAAAAACTGTATCTGTTTTGATGAGTTTGCTTTGAATACAATAAAATTTGCGGGCAGTAAAAAGGTGTCTAGTTATCCAGGATGTGGTAATCCGTGAATTTCCTGGAGATCTTATACGGGATATTTGGTTTGTGAGAAATAATTTTTCAAAGCACGACAGCCAATACCTATTTCAGTAAGGCTAAAACCACAACTGAGGCAAAATAATTTGAATGCATTTTATTTCGTGGTTTATCTTCAACTGCTTACAACCGTGTTCGTATTAAGACATAACAATGAGATATGATATACTATGTGTAAAAACACCTACTTTCAACTGAATTATAACAGAATAATAGTAGCAGCAATGACAGTTAAAACATGCGTTTAGATATTTTGATTCATTTACCAAGCACAAATTTATGTATTCAGTTTTGAGCCATCATGTGCTGCTACCCGGCTATTCTAACCGAAGTATGTGAAGTATGGATTAATAGCTTACAAATGTTAAAATGCTAATATTTTAACCTCTTTAATCACAAAACGATATGACAGTATAAATGATCAGTGGATAAATATTTAGAAAATGGAGCTAACAATTAAGAGAAAAACGAACTAGTTAATTCCATTAAACTTTCTTAAACTAAAACATTGATTTCGACCAGAATAAAGTACAGCATTCCTAAAATGTGACTAACCTAATAAGAATTTTGGAACGCTAATAATAAGTCACCTGATCCGATTCACTTTCTTATCAGAAATAGAAAGAAACAAATTACTGAGTGTATGATATGGAATCACTGAAATATTTAGGTGACAACAGAAAAGCAGTATTGGCAAAGTGGCACGAAATCAATGGGTTTGATAATAAACGGTATTTCTGTGATTTACGTCTTGATACGTAGTTACATTCGACACCGAATATCTTGATAAAATAACTAGTTATAGTTGTCAATTCAAAGAACTACAATGATGTTTTAAAGGAAATTTCACGAAGTGTTACATTTTCAACATTAGGTTGTCAAAAAAAGACCTAAAAATCCTTTTAGAATATAAAAGGAAGCAGCCAAAATATGTTAAAAACCACATTCAGAACTACACCATCCTCCGGATAACACGTAATACGACTATTAATGTGATTTAAATTATGAGTGTCAAAATGTGATGGAAACACAGTATTGAAATATCTATACTATACAATACAAAAACCATCAAGTACATGTTTGCCTGAATCACCTATGTGTTTAAAGAATAAATACAACAAAAATGTAATAAAAATTCAGGAAGATAGAATCCTAGGTGTGAACGAGTATAAAAACGTTAACATCGAGTGTCCTATCATAACAAAAAGTGAATAGTTGGTCGCGTCTTTGTCGTATAATTAATCAACAGTCCTTAAAAAATTAAAATAGTCCATGAAAAAATTTATTCTTTACATTCATCCTCAAACGTAACTGCTAAGTGATATAGCTGATTGCTTCAAATTGTTATTAGCTAGTTTTCTCAAAATATCTGCTACGATTGAAGAGATATTGTTCAGAACCAATTGGGGATTTATGATAATGTAATTAAAACATGTGGTTTATCAATGGGTATGAAATTGATTTTCTGACACTTCATTGCTTAGTGTAGGTTGTGATATGAACAGAGAACAAGAAGCCTAGAAAAACTACGGAAGCTATTTTTGGGGACGTTATTTCATTTAATTCAAAGCTTGTAAAACAGTAACATTTAATTTTGTTCCTATTTTATTCTAGAGACCATAAGCTTTCTTTTGATGTATGATTCACTGCCATAGCCTTTTCTGTTCCAAAGTTATTATAATTTAAACGTAATCTTTTGAAGATCTAATTAAAAACAATTGTTCGCTTATATGTGTTGTTCTAATTACTGGAAATACTGTTCTCGCTCCAATTAAAATTCAGAAAACTCACATACATTTGATAGCATTCCTCTGAAATTCATAAATAGACGGTAAGTCGATGGTACAGTGTGACCTATTGTAGCCTTGGTAGAAAAAAAGCCTGTTTACATCACCTTACCATTCAGAGGTGATTCAAATAACCTTTCATTGAAACAGGCTTAAATCAGTCATCAACAAAACGTATTGCGCAACAAAGGTCATTATCAAAGAAAGAACAAGGTGCATGCTTCATTCAAAACCTTAAAGACATGAAAAAGATTGTGTCACATTCCACTGTTTACCAATTTAAATGTGTGTGTGGTCACACATACATAGGGCGGAGCAATCGTGATCTCAAAATTAGGGTGTGTGAACATCTACCAAAATGGTTGCGGAAACAACTACAATCAAGTGACCCAATAAGAGCAGAGGATAAACATCCATCGTCCTCTATTACTAAACATATAATCGAAACAGGCCATAAGATTGATCATAACTCGGCTTTTGTGGTGTTGTATAAAAGTGTAAAAGGGCGTATACTAAGGGTTATTGAAGCGTTAGCCATACGAAAATTCAACCCCCCTTTGTGTATTCAAAAACAGTTTGTTCCCACCTTAAACCTACCCTAATAATGACTTATTAGCCAGAGTGATTAGGTTTCAAATTGTGTTCACATTATTATTATTATTACTCTTATTATTACCCTTATCTCCTCTCACCCCATTTCCAGTCTAGTTGATCATTTATCATTACATATAAATGTTCTTAACAAGTATGTGTGATCAGATTGTTCGATTTGTATTGCGCTAATATATCACATAGTTCTGATAATCTTCGTCTTCTTATTACATTATTACATACTACGCATAGGTTCTTATTTGAACAGATACCTAAAGTTTTCATTATCCAAGCTTTCTTATCTTAGACAAGTTATACCGAGATGTAAACATTGTGTCAGTCTGTAACAATTATGATCCAACAACTATTCTACTTACGGTGAATACGTCATCTTCGTTAAACAAACTAGATGACCAAATTAAACGAGTGTTAATTTTTAGAGACTTTAGGTGGTATATCTCAGAATCGCTTATCGTAGTGCAGACGCATTTACTCTTTATCTTCCTCTAGATCTTGAATCCCATTACCGTTCCAATTATACGTTTTCGCTCAAACTTCCCAAACTTACTCTCAATATTTATTTCTATTTATTTATCATTGCTATTACATCATTCGGACTGGTTTTTTGTTTTCATTTTTTCCTGCTAATGAGGTTTTGAAAATCGGGCCAACGTACAGGCTCTATGTTGACGATGTCTATATGCTTACTCTGAATAAAACTGACCATATGCTCAAAAGTAAACAATCCGAAGTGCAATTACTATTGATAATTACAAAATGTAACAATAACTCTTAAAGAAATAATTTCTGATGATTTTGGAAGCAATGTTTCATAAATTCAAAAATATACTTACAGTTCTGAAGCGATAAAACGTTGATTTACAGTTATTAGGTAGCGCATAGAATTTCTGATTTTTCAAAGTGCAGCTGTGCAAGGCTCTGAAATTCATTTGCGAAAAGCAAATAACAATATATGCAATTGGTTTCAATTTTTACGGAAAACAGTTTAAAAGTTGAGGGTAAAATACGTTTTTCATTAGTACAATCATTTAGCAATCCCAGCACTGAGCTAACAAAACAGAAAGATTTTTGATGTATGTAAAGAAACCAACGACTGAAAGTTGGTGTATAAAAATAAACTGTGTAATAGCAATAATATTTACACTGATTTGGTAATTAATGGGATAAATCTATCAAGAAAGGGAGATAGAAAACCGATACATTAAGCAAAGGTCAATCAATAGATAACATGCAACCTTAACTACGGTACACCAGTTATCAAGTTTGTAGAACTAATTTACTTTAGAATATTTATACGTAGAATATGTTAAGTTAAAATCTTTACGATTAACCAATGAACAAACAGTCTGGCCAGAGTATTACAATCTAGATAAATCTTATATTATATCCTAACGAAGAATAAATGAGTGTTAATTACTAGAAATTATTTATGAACTATTATTACACACGTTCTTACTGGATAAATATAAAGTAACTATATATATATATTCATTTTATCATAAAATTTCATTTGACCTATTGATTACTATTATTTGATTTACTATTCTTAATTTATTCTCAATATCTCACATTCACAGCCACTTTTGGCTTGGTCGTGTATAATTGTTATTTTCTATTTGATGATATGATGCGGTCTGATTTGCTTGTACATAAACTGCGTATGTTTGAAATACATGATTTATATAGCAGAGGATGAGATTTGCTTTCTGGACTCAACGGTCAGGACTAGGCGAGAAGGATCAATAAAGTTTCAGAGTTTGCACAAAGCTGCCAGTACTGTTTTGACGTGTCACTGGTTTAACACAACAACAAGGTCTTATAAGTCGATGTTCTGATTGGCGATTTTGTCATGTGATAATTGACAGGGGCAAAAATCATAAAATCTTATGAGTTACCTAATAAAAATGACCATATCAATTAGTTTAGGTATATAAGAAAATATATATACAGCAATCCACTGAAAAGCGTCTTAGAAATGCATTATAGCAAGTAGAAATGTATTTATCTATGATAACGTAAAACGTTTTTTAAGAAAAACTTACATCAATAAGCTCTTCGAGACCAGTTCTATTGATTGATTTGTTACAGATAGAGGGTATTAGACGATTATCTTCGGCAACTGAGGGAACAAGCAGAAATCGACTTTGATTTACATTACAATGACACGTGGTAAAGTTGAGGGAATGCAACGAGTCGTTACATAGATTTGTTGGTTTGAAAGACGAAGAATAAAGATTATTTCCCGAAATCGGAGTCTGGATTTAAATGTATGATAATTTGGTACCAAAAAGAGAGGAAATATTAACACAAACTGTAATGGGCGCGGATGCGAGTACATTCAAGCTCACAACGTTAGCTGGCAAAAAATAATATATACTGCACGCTAACAAGAATAAATCGCCAATTACCGATAGCAGAAATTAGGATTATGTAAATAAACCCATGTTGAACCAATAGAAAGGTAAACAGTACATTTCAATGTCGATGACTGATAATTTTTTCCGACCGTTGTTGTTACCTTGACGTCGTGGTTGGGCTTGCCTATCGTGATGAAGCAACTAAGCTACACTGGCTGGAAAAACCGTTCCTCAAGGTCCTACCATGTCAGACAGGTCGGTTGAGGAGCGGTATGACTAAAAGCAACAAACCCAAGGTCCGAAGGCGAAGTCGTACTGCCGACTGTACAGAAGTGTGACGACAGTAAGGTGTTTCCTTCAGACAAACAGCATGACAGCGATGTTGCCTTTCTACAAGGAAGGGTGGGGTTAGAAAAGGTCAACCGTAAAAAGGCACACCTCGCCTTATCCCACGGATATCCATCTACGGCGGTAAGGTACCAACAAGCACGGAGCTAACAAAAAAATTACCCACAAGAAGGTCGTGTGTGACTGGATTTAGGCAGTTGTCCCTTAGGTCCTGCGGTCATGTCCTCAGGTTACTAAGACCACCTCTTGCCCTTTTCAGGTACGTCCAGAAGAACCTTCCACAGTGTGAGCGATCGGGAAGTAAAAACCGCTTTCATACTTCTAATAGCACTCAGTTAGTCAGTAACAACGTAGAACTTCGTACCTACGTACATCAGTTCGAGTTGCCATACCACATTAGCACAGAGATGCCGTTATCGATTGAAATCCCCTAGTGGTAGAGTTAGTAAGAGTATAAGGAGTAATCGGAAAGATTAGGGTTCGAAGATTTTATTCAAGGAGTATAATCCAGTGAAATAAATTTGGAAAGAAAATAAAGGACATGAAGAATTCAGACTAGAATTTGGGAGAACACAAAGAGTGAATGCACCTGCGCCATTGCAAACGATTTTGAGCCATGTCATTCAGGGTCTCTAACCATCGGTTGCTATCATCTCGTGGTCCCCAACCAGGTAGTCTACACCTACCAACATGGCTCAGTCCACTTGTCAGTGACTTCATGGATTTGTGCCATATTTTGGTCTGGCCGCCCCTAGCTTTCTTCCAACCTACTCCTATACCTCTGAACATAGGACGTCGAGGCAGTCGGTGGTTGGACACACGTGACATGTGTCCCATCCATCTCAACTGATGAAGTTTCATTACTTCATCAATTGATTTGACATCCTTACTTAGTACCCGTTTCCTAACAACTGTGTTACTTACTCGATGGTCCCAGGATATACGAGCAATGTTTCGAAGACATCTATGATCGAATACTATTAACCTACGAATATCCTCTACTCTTACCGGCCATGTTTCACTGCCATGAAGTAGGACGGAACGAACTGCTGCGCAGTAAACACGTCCTTTGGTTGATAGACGGATATCTCGCCTACGCCATAAATGACACAAGTTGGCAAATGCTAGTCGAGTTCTTTGTATCCGTGCTGAGATTCCGTCACACACCAGACCACAAATGCTGATCAGACTCCCAAGATAAGTGAAGCAGTCGACACGCTCAACTACTTCACTCCCTATCATTAGTTCGGGTGTCGATGGAACCCAATCCTGAAGCAACATTTTGCATTTCGAGAGGGAGAATCGCATCCCAAACATGCTTGCATTGTTGCTTACAGTGGTCAGAAGACTCTGCATTTTGTCAGCGTCTTCACCAAACAGAACTATGTCATCGGCATATTCCAAGTCAACAAGTGGATCACCCGGTAGAAGTTCAACCCCTGGAAAGTCAGATGTGAAAAGTGTTATCTTTAAAGGCACGTCAACGGCAAAGTTGAACAAGAATGGAGAGAGTGGACAGCCGTGACGAACACCACTTGAGGTAATCAATTCTGATGACAGTTCGCCATAAGCCCTCGCTCGGTCAGTTGTGTTCGAGTAGAGAGCCTTTACAAGGTTAATGTACTTCTTTGGTACTCCTTTCAGTGACAAACACTGCCATAGAACCTCACGATCAACAGAATCGGATGCTGCTTTGAGGTCGAGAAATACTACCATTGTGGGGCTTCTGAATGTGTGTCTGTGTTCTAGAACCTGACGTAGTGTGAATATCTGGTCTATACAACCACGTCCAGGTCGAAAACCAGCCTGATTTTCTCTAGTCTGTTCTTCACGAGCTCTAGTTAGGCGTCGAAGTATTATTGAAGCTAATATTTTAAACACTATGTTAGTCAAACTGATTCCTCTATGATTGTCACAAGAGGACTTTTGTCCTTTCTTATAGACTGGCACAATCAGTGATTGAGACCAGTCAGATGGGATTACGTCCAGTTCCCAAAATTCTACCTAAGACCTCAGTTAATCTCACTGCTAATACTGGACCACCATCCTTAAAAATCTCAGGAGTAAACCTGTCAAGGCCTGCTGCTCTCCCTCGCTTCAGATTTCCTATAGCTTTTTTAATTTCGTAAAGAGTTGGTAGATTTTCATCAACTCGCCATTCAGGTCGACTGGAGATCGTGGGAAACCGAAGTGTGGCTGAAGGCCAGTTGAACTGATCCTCCCTCTTCAATTTCTATTATCCCTCGTACATCAACTTTCAACGCTAAATTTCCTTTTTCGGCTTCCCCCCTCAAGTGTCACCATAGCCAACGATTCTAGTGCTCAAAACACTGTTCCAGGTCTACTGAATCTTCTTTCCAAACTATACATTTGAGCCTTCAACGTACGCACCCTATGTCAAATCGGTCAATAATCTTCCTTCGCTAGAACCCTAGAATCTCGTACCATTGATGTATGCTGTGTCTCTGAAACACGCACACAAGATCCCAGTGTGGTCATCCACTTGACCTCACCTCGGCAAAACGGAGAGCCAACGAAATACACCCTTCATGTATCTGGTGACCCGATGGCCAGTTCTCGTGGGCCGGCAGGTGTAGGCGTAGAACTAAGCATGAGGGCGGAACAAGCACTGTTAGAGTGGATCCCCGTTAACAGTCGTTCATGTGCTGTTCGGCTAAACGGCTACGTAAGAACTCGGAATGATAGGGACACACGTCATTGCCTTTTTGTCGTTTCTGCCTACGCTCCCACCGACTGCAGCTTGGATGAAGTGAAAGATGAATTTTACAGAAAGCTAAACGTTCAGAGATAGTACTCGTAGCAGGTGACTTTAATGCACAAATAGGTCGTTTAAACCAAACAGAAAGGCATTTAGGCGGATATTTTAGTATTCCGGCACAACGAACAGATAATGGTGATCGTCTGCTGCAACTGTGCTCAGACAATCGTTTATTTTTAGCAAGAACAAATTTTAAGCATAACTAGGGAGACATGGTCTAACATGTCGACCCCCTACACCGAAAAAATCAGATCTAGGTAAAGCAAAAGTCTAAGAAACGACCGTGAGGAGTGGTGGGCAACGAAAGCAAAAGAGATGGAAAAGGCGGCGGCTATAGGGAACACAAGACAGCTCTACAGACTAATAAAAGAAACTGGAATTAATAAGTCAAGTGTAAGTGAGATTATATCGGAAAAAGATGACACCCTCATCTGCCCCCAGTCCAGACATTTAGAACGATGGGCGGAACATAAATCTTGTGAAGGCTCTTCACTTGAACACTACTAGTCGAGTGAGAGTTTATGGCGAACTGTCATCTGCTTTTGCAACCTCAAGCGGCATCTGTCAAGGCTGTCCACTTTCTCCATTTTGGTTTAACTTCATCATAGACTTATTGGTGGAAATAACATTCTCGTCTACTGAATTCTCAGCTACTGATCTCCTTCCAGGAGGTCTACTTATCGACTTAGAATACGCAGATGATTTAGTCCTGTTTGGTGAGGACGCTGATAAAATGTAGAGTCTTTTGGTAGCACTAAGCAACAATGCCAGAATGTCTGGAATGCGCTTCTCTCCCTCTAAATGCAAGTTGTTGCTTCAGGACTGGTCTGCGTCAACACCTGAACTAAGGATATGGAGTGAAGTAGTCGAACGCGTTGACAACTTCACTTATCGTGGAAGTCTGATCAGCCGTAATGGGTTGGTGTCTGACGAAATCTCAGCACGAATTCGAAAAGGTCGTTTGGCTTTTGCCAACTTACGTCACCTATGGCGAAGGCGAGATATCCGTATATCAATAAAAGGACGAGTATACTGAGCGGCAGTCCGTTCTGTTTTAATTTACGGCAGCGAAACATGGCCATTAAGAGTAGAAGATACTCGTAAGCTACTAATATTTGACCACAGATGCCTTAGAAATATTGCTGGCGTCTGCTGGGATCACTGGGTAAGTAATAGTGAGGTCAGACGCAGGATATTAGGGAATGATGGTAAATCAGTTGATCAGCTTGTGAATCTTCATCGACTGAAATGGTTGGACCATGTGTTACGTATGCCCGAACACCGATTAACACGACGTGCAATGCTAACCGGTGTTGGAGATGGTTGGAAGAAAGTTAGGGGCGGCCAAACCAAAACGTGGCATCAGTGCTTGAAGTCACTAACTTCTAGTCTGAGCCATGTTGGGAGATGCAGACTACTTGGTTGAGGTCCGCGTGACTATCGTAACCAATGGTTGGAGACTCTTGGTGACATGGCTCAGAATCGATCACAATGGCGTCGGTGTATACACTCTCTGTCTGCCCTCAAACTAAGAGATTAAAATCGCTTCATATCTTTCTTTCTACGAACTAATTCTTTCTTCGTGTACTATATCCTTATATGCTATCTTTCTATTATATATTACCACCACTACTTTTATGAATCCGGTGTTCATCTTGTCGTGTTAATGTGGTATGGCAATTTGTTCAGATGCATATATGTGCCTGGTCCTACGTTGTAGCTGACTGGCTGACTGACTGAGAATTTTATCCAAGCTTAAAAAGCTATCAGCAAGTTAAATAGGGGATCGATCTATCAGATATAGACTGAATATTAGGAAACTTATGGTGGATGGTCTTGTAATTCTGGCAATGTAATTATTAAATGGTAGGAGAATTTGGAACTTTCTAGATCGTTGGTTTATTTTTTAAAGTTATTTGATACCAGAAAATTCGAAGATATTAAAATAGTAAATGAAAACGTTTCGAATACACAAAACTACGCATTATTTACTCATACGGTTTGATATGTTTTTGTTGTGTGCTCACCATGGAGAATCGGTAAATCGTTTGATTACTAGTCCCAAAACAATCCCATAACGATCTAACTACTTAGCAAAGAAGATCCCAAATAAAGACTGTTTTGTTGACTGGACAAAATATGATAAAAACAACACTACGACTGAGGGTTATTTTCTCTGCTATTATAATTCTTATCATTGAGATAGAACATATCTGTAATATGAATTTTCTACACAAAACAACAGGCGATGTAAAAGTAATTAGTTGACGTGAGGTACAGCTTACAAAGTTTTCGAAAATCGATTACTGAAATATTACGATAATAACACTATGCTGAAAAATAGAAAGTTACTCCAGTAAAAAATAAAACATTTCAGTCACTAACCTCGACTAATAAACGTTTCAGTTTCAAAAGAATAATTCTTGTTGCTTGTAATTCCTCAACCATTTCTCTTTGTTCATTAGCAAACAGGAAACTAGATGGATGCTTTAATTCATGACGCAAAGAATCATTAACAGTTTTCATTGAAGTTGATTCCATAAAAGATGGAGAAAGTTTTAGAGGATGATTTGGCCTAAATAGGATTAGTAAGGTCTTAAAATGTATGAATCAAGCAAACGAAATATAGATCTTTTGTAAGATAAATAATACTACATAAATAAATTATATTTTGGAAATAACATGCAGTTACAATATAATCATAACATACAATTATTCTTACTGGAAAAAAACAACAGAGAATAACGCTAAACTTGTGCAACACAAGACAGGGTAGCAACTCGAAAAATTTGCACCAATTAAAATGACATAATGACAAGAATTAAAATAAAATGATTGTACGACGGAAAAATAACCACCACATACTGAGGAAAAATCAACCCTGCTTCACTATCGGATGGTTATAATCAGAGTAGGATCTAGCACAAATGTAAGTCAGCTGCAATTGCAATACCACATTAGCATGACGAGATAAAATAGTCCCCAAATTCTATCAAAGATCGCGGTTAATCTAACTGCTAAAACCAAACCACTTCCTCGCGGGTTAGTCTATCAGACCGTGCTGATTTCCCTTGCTTCAGACTGCTCATAGCCTTTCCAACCTCACCAAGAGTTGAAAAACTTATATCAATTTCCCATTCAGGTTGCTTGGAAATAATTCGTAACTGAAGTGTGGCTGAAGGTCAGTTGAACGTTTTCCAAGAGTGTCCTGGCCATTGGTTCAATCTCCTGGGTTGAGAGTGAATAATATTCACGTCTTTTTCCGAGATGGTCTCACTAACAGCCGAATTCCTAATACATGTTTCATTGATAAGTTAGAACAGTTATCTACTGTTTCCGGGCATCTAAAAGTTTAAAAAACGTTAAAGACACCAACTGGAAAATAATCCATGTCATCACAAGTAATAAACGTACATCGACATATTTGGAATGGTGTATCGTATTCTGTATTTCATGTTTTAGTTTATCTTCTTCTAGGTTAACCACAAACATCGGCCAAAGTAGGCTATAGGAGCGATCCTAAAGCCACCCTACCTGTTTGCTTGTACAATTGATTGCTGAACTGGAGATGACTTTCTTTTATCCAAAGCAATAATAATTTCCTCAACTTATTTTGTGGTCAAGAAAGTAGTTCAGACTGTTCGCAAATTATATTAACAACCTCTTTTAATGGTATGCGTGTAAATAATGAGCAGACATCAAAAGACATCATGAATTTATCTGGGTTATTCAAATTATCCATTTCATCAGAAAACTGTGGTCTGTCTATTAAACTGTGAGCCGCCAATTTCTTAAGAATTGGTTCTAATAATTTAGTTAACCATCGAGCTAACTTATGATATTAGTGAGTCTACAATAGACACTATAGATCTTAACGGGATATTGAATTTATGTACATGATGGAAACTATATATAAAAGGCAATCTCGACCATTTTGCCTGCAGATTGTTGTAAGTTGAATTATCGATGAGTTCCTTTTTCAAAAGTTCCCTAGGTTGTTTATTAACTCTGTTTCCCATCGTTCCGATGACATATTTACTAGATTTGCCAACTTGGAATTTTGATGCATGTTATGACTTTGAGAATTTGGGCTATTTTATACACATAATCTTTTCGATTCATTATTACAATACATGAAGCTCAATTTGGTCTTATTATAACGGTCTTATTCTTTTGTAAATTCTTCAATACCAACATATGTTCCTTCGTCAACATTCTTGGATGTGAAATTGCAAAAATATGATGTTGATTTGCCATATCAACAAGTTTGGATTCATACCAACCCTTTCTGTCATGATCTGTAAGTTTTAAGTCCGTGACTTGTTGGTACAGCCTTTCAAATTGAATTTGTATATCAACTTGGTTGACATTTTTACTTGGAACATGGCCATTTAAATCCGAGAAAGAGATATAACTTCACTTTCAATCTTGATTAGCTTTATGCTTGACAGATTATATATATAATCTTAGGCTGTATATAGGTTATGAGAAGTTGTGAAACATAATTAATCCCTTTTTTGACAAACCTTATTGATTTTGCTGTTTAAATGTATCGAGAGATCTGGTTGCCTGAAGTTAGTATAAGTTTATGTAGTACAGAAGAACGCAGAATATATAGTAGTCAAAAAATAATTTTGATCATGTCAATGTCATGATATGAGACTTTTACCAATAGTTGTTATTTGAAATTATCAAAACTTAGTAATAAAACTTCGAAAATAGACATTTGTTTGCTCTATATGCTAGGAAAAGTGACGTGGCACTTCATTCTGTTCGTATTTAAAGGAAAGCACACTTAATATCTTAGATTGACATTTATCTTTCTCGTTTATTCGTACCGTCTTTGTTTACGCTGGGATTTGTCTTCTCTTTAGTAATCACTTAAAGTACAGTACCATTAGGTAATAAATCATTATTTAATATCCTAACCTATCAAATATAATTGCTCTTTCATAATTTTTGAATAAAGTTCACAAGTTAAACAAAACTTATCAGGTTAAATTCTGCATATAAACATAGACTGTGAATAAGGAATTAAAAAGAAAATGTGTTCTTTGAAAAAAAAACTACAAAGCAATAAAGAATCCAATCAGAAATTGCACAATTGTTTTTCAGTCAGCTATAAGTTCTCACGAGGTAAAATGAAGAAATTACTCAAATCCAATAATCTGATATTTCACCTTATTCAGTGATATATACATAGCGTATTTGCAAAACAGTATCACAAACTATGCTTTGAAAGTAGTTTACAGTGTTTGTTAAATACAAACAAATTTCTAGTGACAAAAATAACTGCCAAGGAAATGTTAACCAATAACACCATAAGCTTTGACACAAACGATACTGAGAAATTTTACTATAATAATAATTACCAGATACTAATAATAGTGAAAATCAGAAAATTCACTAAGTTTGGTCAATGATCAGGGTCCCAAATATTTTGAGTAAAATTTCCCATTCGGCCTTGGAGTGTTAACGGCATGTTAGTGGTTTACTTGACGGTTTACTGACGTGGAAGTAGTGTATTGGGCACAAAACTTGGTTACGACAGACTAGTTGTTATTCAAATGAATGAGTCTGTTCGACGGCTGGAACTTTTATGGTCTATGACAAACGGGATTCATGTAGTAAATAAACAGTTGGTTTTTAGTATGCATTAGAAAAACATATTTTCATGAATTTCTTTACCACAGGAAAAAACAGAGCATTTAATATATATATAATTTACCTTTGTGTAGGAATTCCAAGACTTACCGTCTTGGAAATCAACTTTTTATCTGAACATTTGGCAGTTACAGTGTTTAGTAAATTTGTACAGGATGGAGAATTCAATAAGTAATTGTGAATATCTTCTGATACATCATTATTTAGTTCATAATGTCTACTACCATTATTTAATTGCTTTTCAAATTGTAGATCGAAATCATCAGTTTTTCTTGTTTCGGAAGAGTTGCGCTTCAATGTTGAAACAGATGAGCAGTTAAGGATAAAATTTCTTTGCAACGATTCATGTACATCTTGATTATCGGAAGGACTGAGTGTACGAGATTGAAATTTCATCGGTTGTTGTTTTCTGACATTAGAAATACGTGGGGCACGAGGTTCGGAAACTTTACCGCCAAACACTAAGTATTTTCCATTTTCCTCGACGTTGCTAGTTTTTGTGTGTGATAAATTATTATTATGCACACTAGTATTGGTTACTTGAGAAGTGGAACATGAGGAGGCATCTATTATGTAGAACAAACAATATGATAATGTATCAAAACAATTTAGAACATTAAACTTGGAAATTAGTAAATAAGTATGAAAAATGGCAACATGATCGCTAAAAATGATTCAACGACTTTGATTACAGTAGAAGTCCAAGCTCTGGGAAGTCTGTGTTAGATGATGATAAAATGTGAAACAACAGATCAATCCCGATTAAAACCACGTAGATCTACCTAGTTTTATTTACACATTTTGTGTACTGATACAATGAATCACCAGATTGCTTCTGAAAAAGTAACGTCGTTAAACTTGAATGACTGTATTACCAGACCCCCCCCCAAAAAAAATACGATTGCCCCAGATCGTTCTTCCAAAATAGAAATGAGGTTGAGAAGAGTCGACTGACCTACTTAGGTCTCTTTCATTTTCCCATTGAAAACATTCCGAAAAACGGCTGTGAGGTAAGTAGCTAGTTTTGGAAGTGGGTATAGATGTACGACTAGAAGGAAAAATAATAGGTGCTCAGACTACTCATCATCAGCACATAGGCTAACCAAATCTCCTTGAATTCAATGCTTTTAGAGTAAGCAACACTCAACGTACAATAGAAAAGTCAACCGAATAATGGATAGCATTTGACTCGATGAATCGAGAAGCAAATACACTGGTAAATATAAGCGAATTCAGTCAAAAAACACGCATCCAAATGAAAACAAAGTTTGTCAAACATCTTGTAATAATTTCGACAAATACCGAGCAACCAGTAAGACTAACGTTTTGATACCAAAAAAGCTGTCACAACAGCACACTATGAAATACGCTACAAAGAACGAAATGATATCGTGAAGAAACGAAAAGAAGTAACCACAAGACAAAAAAGAACTTTGGAGGAACACAGTATAATTGAAATACACTTCGTTCAGTTAAAAAGGCACCTGCTATTTACGAAGGATATGACAAAAAAATCCAGAATAATCATCACTAATTTTCAATTTGACTTATGTCTCATAAAGCCGCAAGCTATTGGGTTGCAAAATTTTTAGAACTAAAAACTATCCTTTATTACATGAATTCTTGTCATAAAATCAACACCTACTCGCAATTTCTATCTACTACCAACGTCGGCGATTAGTGATCCGCATAAAAGTTGTTGAAAATAAATGCACGAAATATATGCAAGACACAAAGGCCTGTTTTAAAATAATATTATTCATTGGACAATAATCTCAGATATCTACAAACACACATCGATAGACCTCAGCCAATAACAGCAGACAGATTTCTGACAATCCTTTCGAGATACCTAGTTATAATAAAAACTAAGTCATATACTTATGTGAGCTCATAGTCAGTTCATAGTATGTGATTTCGTTGAACTTTGTGTGTATTATGTATTTATACATACGCAGCACTGTGCCAAATTTATTGTTAGTTCAACACTAAAAATTCAACAGAACAATTTTTTACATACATTTTCCCTTTGTATTTTATCCTTAGCTTCAACGAAATTTCAGAAAAGGTTAACACGCACTAAATGTCTAATGTTTATAAGATTTTATCGTTTTAACTAACCTTAATATCCAGAAATGAATGAAATTCTAAACTAGGAGGTAGCTGTACAATGGATAAAATAACCGTTCTTACTCATCGCAAATAATTCAACTAGCATCATCATTACATGCTGAATTTAAGTAAAATCGACCTTATATATGGTTTTACGTATTTTTCCAAAACTAATTATACGTACCATTTTCTTTTACTACACTGCTTAACATTAGGTCATAATCACTAGATGCTGGTAAATTTCGTCCTTTGTTATACGTTTTGGAGTCTGGATCAGAGTTCTGAATAGGGGGATTTTTGGATTGCAGCTTTTTACTGGTAATCGCTGTGTTTGAAAAAAGATGAATAGATCTAAATCCAAAACAACCGACAGATCGATGTAATCGTTTCTTCATCTACAAAGGAAACGCTAGAATGATAACCGCGAAAAAGTCATAGAAAATATTTCGAGATAAAATCAACCAGTTAACCATTCGTGATTTTAAACATCGATTATGAGAAAGCTTTATCTTTTACACATAAGCATCAATATAAACGAGGAATCCGAAAAGGATATTGTTAGCGGGACATAGACTGGATTAAAGCATGCTCAATGCACGATTGCTTTGGTGCACGCTGATTGGCTAATTCTTATCCAATCAGTGTTAGTCGATACTTGGTGAACACTCTAGAAATCTTCTCGTGTGAAAAACTATAAATATACTAACGTTTTCCCTATTGTGCTTCTTACTTCCATCTAACCTTGTTATTGGAATATAATCTCTTTGCTGTTCAACCGTGTTCTGATTTGGGGACTTCTCGAGTGAATCGGTGTCCGAGAATACTAAGCAATAGGAATAGCTGGGTTATAACCGTAAGAGAGAATTATAACAGATATGAAGGAGTCTTCGACAACCTGGAGCAAGGACATTGGTGGAGTAACATTCTCTGGATAAAAACGGTTAATTAATTTCTACGGTGTCCTTGTTACGTAATTGACGATGTGGGAGTGGTCAGAAATGTTTTATAGTTTTTAAGGGTCATTTACCAAGTATAGATCTATACCTTAGGCTACGAGCCACGCATTAAGTGCAAGAGCTTCGATACTACCCAATCCCCAAAGTTGAAGTAGGTGGGACAGAGATCAGGCTCGTAACTTAGCGGCTGAGAGGGTCTTGATCGCTGAGCCACCAAATCTACGTGTGGTAAGTAATCAAGACGAATCAAATTTGCAAGAGATGGAAATACTGAACACACTAAGCATCATGGTGGAGTTGATGTTCTATCGATGTTCCACTTGGTTGAGTCGAGTTTGATTACTCTACAGAGCTGTTGTTGATGTGACATCCTCAAATACAACGCATAAAGAAGAAACTACCACTTTGTATTGAAATATTCAGCCAATTGTTCATGATGAGAAAATAACGAACACAATTTTAATTCACAATAATGACTACTATGGATGATTGTGGAAAACACTGAAGATAGATATAAGTGTTAACTGGATCAACGGTTCATATTTATCTAGATTTTCTACGGTAATTTTCTTGAAGTTAATACATCTTCAACCACTAGCTCTGATTTGCCGCATTACATCGAATAAGAACCCATGTTAAGCTGTATTGATGTTGTTGCCAAAGATTAACGGTTAACGAATATCGGGCTTTATACCATTTTAGTCCAGTCTGCAACAAAGTGTGATCTCAAAGTTCATGCACATAACAATGAATCTGATCCTGGTCCCGAGCCTTTACGATTTACCGCATCGCACTCAAGCAATAAGTTATCAAAAAGAAAACTCTGAAATCTATACGTTGGCGTTGAAGTGCATGACATTTTGCCAAATTATGCTCATTCATAAACCACCGAAGCAGTAAATGTAATATAATAAGCTATTAAAATAGACGCCACAGTCACAATATGCTAAAAAAATCCAGAAAACGGAGAAGTCTAAACAACAAACTAAATGAAATCAACAGGCATATCAGCAAACATCACCGCAGTACCCACATAAACAAGATAGCCAATTTTGACGGTCATATTATCAATTTGCCTCTAAGCTATCTTTTAACTGTTAAAATTCAGTTAAGAACAAATGGCTTAGATTAACTCGATCGGTGTTTTATTCTCTAGGGGAAAAAACACCTGTGAACTAAATATCCAGTCATTAATTTAAAAACCAACCTCGGATTGTTCCATTTTGAAAATGAGAAATATTAGGGTTATGACACTCCCAAATATAACATACAAAAAAGAAAATCCACCTTAAAATTTGCACATATTTAAGGTGATTTTTGGTCAGTCAACTTTTAATGCATTTCGTTGCGCTAATTTGTTCGAAAATAAAACTATTTAATGACTTTCTGTGTATTTTCAACTGCATAATTTCAATCAAAACGCATTGAATAAACTGAACTTCGGTGAACTTTCATTTATTTTAATAAATTTACTGTCATTTTCGCAATCAATTGAAACTGATTAGTTCATATTTAATTATATATTTATTTGAACACAAATATTGCTACACGGGGGCACCATATATACATGTGCCACAAGAAACAACATTTGAAAGGAAACTAGGCTATTCGACGTAAGCTTAGGCAGAGATTGAGATGTGAATTCAGAGTCAAGTTTCCCGATGGAGCACAAAAAGAAACTCACTTCTAGTGGCAGGTGCAATAGACAATATATGGGTCAATGGTTGCTGAAATGCATATCGCGTTTTGATAGAAAATATTACCTATATTTCCTCATTGGATTTTACCTAGGTAAACTAAATGTTCTCTGCTTGTTGTCACGTCTTTCTCCAAGTGACCCTCGTCATTTTCTAATCATTCTTGTTTCGTATTCTACAGTTCTGATTTTTACTGATATAATAAGGGATAGAAAGATTTATGTCCAAAATATGATTATTGAAATAGTAGCAACTCATTCGTAAGCAATGTAGTCTGGCACTAGTGTGGGTTAGCCACATCTCATTAGCACGAGACGAATACTAAAGAGGTCAAAAAGTTAGCTTTTGACAGTCTCTATCCATACAAGTTACCGCTGATCCTAATATTCGGACGATTTTTCATTCCTGTGTTCTCTATCTAGAGAATTCCAAATTAGAATAATCACTTTTGTTTGCCACTAATGTACTTGAAAAACGTCTGACAATTGTTTACCTATAATTGAAAGTTCACATGACCGCATTATTTTCTGTGGTTTATTAGTATTATTAATTATTCAAACAATTTATTTATTTGAACACAAATATTGCTACACGGGGGCACCAAATATACATGTGCCACACAAAGCAATGAGAATGGGGAGTAAGAAAGAAGGTAAGGTGCGTATAAGAAATAACAAAGAACAATAACGACCACAGCTTAGTGTATGATAGTGTAATCATAATAATAATAATGCGAGAAACAGAAAGGTTCAACCAGAAGGATTCTTTCAGTTAAGGAAGATACAACCACTTTTTATGAAGAAAGTAAAAGAAGGTTACAGCAGGATCGCCACCGGCTTCTATTCTGAGCCATATCTGATAACATCTCTAGCCACTGTGTTGCACCATCTCTCGGACCTCAACCAGGGAGTCGTGAAGGACCGACAGAAGCCAGTCCTTTGCAGCTTCCTTTTATTCCGCGACACCATGTCATACACTGACCACCTTTCTGCTTTTTCCAACCAGTCCGCGCGTCCGTAAATAATGCACGACGTGGAATTCTCTGGGACGACATTCGTAGAACATGCCCAAGCCACCGAAGTCGGTGTTTCAAGATGGTGACACCAATTGAATTATCATCTCTGTGCCCGAACACACGATGCCGAACCTCTTCATTACTGACATGGTGTCGCCACTGGATGTCAGCAATCCTTCAGAGACAACGATGATCAAACACAGAGAGACGTCTAACATCCTCAACTCGGAGAGGGCAGGTTTCACAAGCATAGAGCAAAACTGCTCTCACCGACGCGTTGTAGATCCGACCTTTTACAGCCAGACTAACATCACGAAGGCGCCAAAGGTGGCCCAGATTGACATAAGCCGCTCTGGCTTTCACTATTCGTGCACTGATCTCATCACTCACACCCCCACCAGTACTTATGCAGCTACCCAGATACACGAACTTCTCAACTACTTCTATCTGCTCACCATCCAGGGTGAGTACAGGATTGGAATCCTGCCAGTCTTGTAGAAGTACTTTGCACTTCGAAGGTGCAAAGCACATACCATACATGCGGACACTGATTGCCAACTGATTAAGTGCGGATTGCATGGCTTGGGCATTATCGCACAGTAAGACAATATCATCCGTATACTCAAGGTCGAGAAGTCTTTTTACAGGCAACAGATCCACACCGCCATTACTTACATCCATCAGAGCTGTTTCCAAAATGTCATCGATGGCAAAGTTGAAGAGGAATGGTGAGATTGGACAACCCTGTCTGACCCCACTGCTCGAATGGAACAATGGAGAGAGGTAGTTGTATGCCCTCACTGTGCCTGAGGTGTTTGCATATAGGGCTTTTAGGATGTTAATAAACTTCTCAGGCACACCCTTCTTCAATAGACAATCCCAGAGAACAGTCCTATCCAACGAATCGAAGGCAGTCCTGATGTCAAGAAACACTACGATTGTTGGCCTTTGATAAGTATGGCGGTATTCTAACACTTGGCGGAGGGTGAAGATATGATCGATAAATCCTCGACCAGAACGAAAACCAGCCTGCTTCTGGCGAGTCAATCTTTCTCGGGTTTTGAATAACCTACGAAGTATGACGGAAGCCAATAGCTTGAACGCAGACAGCAGACATCGATATTAAAACTCTCTAAAGACATAACCAGCCCTAGTCAGTCAGTCAGCTACAACGTAGGACCAGGTTGCCATACTGCATCAACACAACAAGATGAACACCGGATTCATAGCAGTGATTAGGTCAAAGGTGGTAATATATAGGAGAAAGATTGCATATAGAGATATAGTACAAGAAGAAAGAATTGGTTCGTAGAAAGATATGAAGTGATTTTAATCTCTTAGTTTAAGGGAAGACAACCCTATCTGTTGTTTGATCTGCATTAGTGTGCGAACGTTGAAGGCAGCCGGTTTGAATCGTGCACGCGGTTTCAGAAAAACTGTTTCAATATTTGTAATCAGTGGTAGCATTCAATTTCCGACCAGTCAGTGACTCGAGAACGTTTAGATACAGTCGAATTTCCACCAAAGACGAGCCGCTGTATAAGTATAAAAGAGGATGAATAATGTGGAAAATAATAATAATAATAATAATAATAATAATAATAATAATAATAATAATAATGACAATAATTGTAATGATAATAATTTGAATCAATTGATTGTTTTTTGAAGCGAGAAAAGTGATTTCCATAGACATAAAGAGTTCATCATTTGTGTATGGGCTGTGA